TGAGAGGACCTTCCCCCCCGCCTGTGTTTTTTTTTTTTTTTTTCCTTTGCCCTCTTACCTGGTTTCTGGGATTATCCTTAGAAGACCTAAATTGCATGTCCGTGAATCCAGAGTCGCCCTGCTGTAATCTGCCGCTGTACACTGGGTCCCGCACGGCCATCTTCTTTGCTTAAGTGATCAGGAAGCGTCTGTCACTTACAAGTTCTGGTAGCCAACCCCCTGATGATGCAATTGTCCCCGAGCATTCTGGGATGTGTGAAGTGAGTGCCCCAGGAAGCCGCGACCAGTTGGGGATACATCATTCTCACCTAGTCGAGAAAGGGGGAAGCGCAGGCTGTGCAGTACAACAACAAAAATTGAGAAAATATTATATTTGAAATTTTGAGAAAGGAACGGAGAAGGGGCAATATTCTTCAAGAAGAAACAGGGGTGAAGATGTGCTGTAATTGACTTTTCTGTAATGTATACTTTGCCGCATTTCAAATTAGACTTGGAAATGGTGAGCATTCATTGGCCAGCGTGGTCACCTGTCCACGCTGACCAGTGAGTAGCGCCTTTTGCCAAGATTGGTGGGGGTAATTCCATTTTCCCAAATTTGCCTGGGAACGTGTAATTATCCTTTAAATGACTTACAACTTTAACATAAAGTGCAAAAACCTTTAGGCCCTACTGGTATTGCCAAAGCTTACCTACTGTCTCTGTCTCCAACACCTTCCTATTGGCCAGTGAGACATTCCATCATAGTGATGGGCTAATAGGAAAGTATAGTGGCAGGAGGCAGTTTGGGCAAAGAAAGCTGCTACAGGTATGTGCAGGCATCTCTACGTGCACGCTCTTCATGTCTATTAACATCTTGCTTTTGTTATTAAAATGACACTTTTCCCTTGGCTGTAATTTCAAGGAGGGAACCGGGAAATCAATGTTTACTAGGGATGCACCGATACCGATACTAGTATTGATGCCGAGTATTTGGGTGAGTACTTGTACTCGTCCAGATGCTCTGATGCCTAGCCCGATACCCAAGCTTCTGGTATCAGGAAGCTGGGAAGCGAGTCATTACACGCTGCTGGCTTACACCGGCTAATCAGGAAGCCAGGTGGCAGGTCATTACACACCGCCTGGCTTCCTTAATGGGACCTCCGGTATTGGTATTCGGTATCGGCGAGTACTGAAAAAAAAGAAATATCGGTACTCGATACCGAAAAAACGGTATCGTGCATCCCTAATGTTTTTACTATAAATAACCCTGTCTGTACTATGCTGGCAGATCTTGTTATTAGTTGTAAGCTAGATTTCAACACTGCCTGTCCTAACAAAGGGTTAAAGATCGAGACACTTGGCTTCTGCATTGCTTGTTAATGAGCTGCAACACAGTCTTTCCCCACTTTCTTTTGGGGACAGACAGATAAGTAAAATCAATGTTGTTCAGCTACTCTGAA